TTGGAGTTGCGTAAGTGAAGGTTTTAGAGGAAAGAAAACATAATTGTTTTTTGTCTTCATATCTGGAGTAAGAGTGGCTGTTTCATGAACTATGGTGTCTATGAAATTCTTTCCAAAGAAGTAATGTTTTGATTCATGCTACATTGTCAATGTGAAAGGCAAATTGTACATATACACATCTGTTATCACATATGAGGTGTTATAAGGCTCCTGTGATCACAGGTAGTATACAGTATTTCATTTCATTTAAGGTGGCAGCAGCATCCAGAATATGGAAGAGAAAATTGCCATTTGAATATATCTGTGTTTCCTCTCGGGAAAAGTCTGTAACAAAATAAACCTGTGAAGTTCAATAGGTGTGATCAGTAGACAGTCTCAAGAGCCTCAACCTTGCTTAATAAGATTCCATTTGGCATAAGAACATGGTAAAGATTTGGTGGAACTTAAATGCGGTTCTGAGCTATGAACCTGATCCACATGATTGTGTTCCAAATCACCAGCCAGTTTACTCAGCTTTGAGTAACAGAAGCACAACACCACCACAGCTCAACAAGCACGTTAGGCCAAGGCAAAAATCTTGGAATTGGATGAACTAAATCAGAACAACGAGCACTGGGGGAGGAGTCCCATGAAGGTTGCACTGGAGTGAGCGAGTTGTAATTTATGTAATGGGACATTAGAACAGGCAGAAGAGTTGTTGGTATGAATATGAATTGCTGTCGCTGGAATGAAAAGGGTGTTGTCCTCATTATTTATTCTATTTTAGTTGCTCTCCTTTAAAGTGATGCTTTGGTACCCAAAATGGTGTGTGATTAAAAAATATATAAGAGTGATACTTTCAAATTATCAGCAACAGCTGAAAGTTTCTCTTATATGAATTGATTAACCATACTGAATATTTATATGGAATTCCTATGAAATAGGATAATAATCATCCCTCTAAGGCCTTGATAAATGACAAGAAATTTCATAGTAGCCACCATCCAGTCAGACAGCAGAGACCAGGGGAAAGGGGGAGCCCAGAGTTCAATCCTGACTATTAGATCTCTTTTCAATTCAAAGCAGGTAATTTAAGTTTCCCTAATTCTAAACAGAGGTGATAGTAGCTGGCTCCACGTCACAGAATATTGTAAAGAAACATAAAATAATTTGAGCTCCTTAAAAGAAAAGTCATATTGAAATGTAAGGAGTTAACATAAGTTGCTTTAAAAAGCCTTAACACCCACAGCAACAATGGGAATATTTAACATCAGTTAAACATTTTAGTTCAATAAGCCTCATTATAAAACTCACTGATTAATTAGCTACTTGATAGGATATACTGTTTCACTGGGTCCTGTTCAAGGATTCTTACGCATTTAGAAAACCTTTGCAGGATCTTAGCTTACAGATGGAAGAAGCACGCTATTAACGGTTCCTGAATATCTACCTACTCCTGGCACTAGGGCAAGGGCCTATTCCAGGTGATGATGGGCTAGAGGGACTGAGTGACAGAATTTTTCTTGAATTCCTAAAAGTGCCTGCTTTCATCACCTGCCATTTTATTATAGAGTAACAGGAATTAATGGTTCCAGCTACCGTCTATAAATGACCATTAGTATTTTGCCATTCTAGATTGTTCCTAGCTTTCATATATTCAGTTTTCACGTGGTATAAAGGTTTGAACATGGATATCACTAAACTAATTTTTATAAGGCTAATAAATTGGATTTCTTATGTATCAATAAGAAATAATGTTCTGCCTGGCCACAGCCTTTGTACAAAAGCTTGTTTTATTAGGAGTGGGGGTGAGGGTAGTGTAAGCACTCTCCCCAGTCGTTCCCCCTACCCCGACCCCTTCACCTTTCTGCATATTCCTAGTGCTGAGGGTACTCTGGCCCCCAGACCCTTCAGGATTAGAGCCTTTTTATGTTCCCTGTACGTGGCCTGCTAGCTTCCTTTCCCACACCAGCAGAGCCTTTTCAGGCCTATGTCCCTAGTGGCCTGGGGAGGAGAGAAGGAACTGTGAGTGCGGAGTAGAGGATAAAGGATTAGCCTAGGCACAAGCCTCAGCCAACGTAAAATAATAATACGAGGCCGGGCATGGTGGCTCATGCCTGTAATCCCAGCATTTTGAGAGGCTGAAGCGGGTGGATCACCTGAGGTCAGGAGTTTGAGACTAGCCTGGCCAACATGGTGAAACCCCATCTCTATGAAAAATACAAAAATTAGCTGGGCATGGTGGTGGGCACCTGTAATCCCAGATATTTGGGAGGCTAAGGGAAGAGAATTGCTTGAACCCGGGAGGCGGAGGTTGCGGTAAGCCAAGATTGCATCATTGCACTTGGGCCTGGATGACAAGAGGGAAACTCCATCTCAAAAATAATAATAATAACAATATGAATTGCTTTCAACTTATGTTATTTATAGCAACAAACTTTAGCACCCTTAAAGATGTAACTCTTATGTGTCTTGAGTCTTCTCCTAAATTTGCTGTGGGGTCATGGAAAAGATTGCTTTCAAGTAAGGGAGGCTGAAGCAGAAGGATCACTTGAGCTCAGAGGTGAGAGTTCAGCCTGGGCAACAGCAAAACTCCATCTCTAATAAAATTTTTGGGAAAAAAAAAAAGGTTTTTTTTTCCTTATTTAAGGTCCAAGTTCCAGGCATTCTTTGTCATAGAGATTAAAAAGTAAGTGGCTGCCTGACCTTCTGCTAGCCCTTATGGAGAAATCAGGCCCCCGGAAACAGGAGATGCCTGACTTATCTCAACTGCCCTTGTCTCTGGGGTGACAGTTACAAGCCTGATGCTGCCTCCCCACAAGACTCCTTGAGGCCTGAAAATTGTTTCTCAGGCAGATTGTTTGGCTGTAGGAAATAAGGACAAATGTACAAACAAAATTTGGGATGGATTTAGATTTTTTTCGCTCTCTGGCAGAAAATAATTTCAAGAGTCTGCGCTCCCTCCCCTTGTGAATGTACTTTTAGTATTTTGAAAATTTGACTTTATAACAATTTATTGGAAAAGTTATATTGATGTGTTCCCACTGTACTGGAAAGGAGCTGCCTGTGTTGTTATTCTCAACATCTTTAATGAATCGCTGAAGACCAGAAGAGTTAATTGAATATATTTTTCCTCCAATTTCTAAAAAATGCAACGTGGCAGAAAAAGAAATTTCGGTTAAACTTAAGAAAGTAGATATTACTTGGCTTTTGGAGCTTGTTGCTTATTTGGTTTAGCCTTTTTTTTAAGGCACTAAGAGAAAACTCAAAAGAAAAAAGAAAGCTGAGAGAAGAATAATGGAGGCAGAAGAGGGACACAAAATACTGGCTTTCTACCACTCCCCGCTCCTCAGAGAGGAGTATTTGAAGATGTAGGAGACATGCATCAGTTGAATCCCTGCAGGCTTCACAGAGCTAAGCACAAAGGGCTGACTCCTATCTGTGTTTGCATGAGAGTGGGCTTGCTATTAGACCACCAAACAAAGGAAGGGCCAGGTGATTCCACAAAAGCAGCCATTTGGAGTGTAGGGGTTGATTTCCTTTCCTGCCAAACTCTCCTATTGCCAAATATCTCAACCCCAGCATTGTCCTGAAGTTGATATTTCCCTGAGTCATGCTGATCTACCCTGTTGTTTATACAAGCTGTGTTATCTAGTAGTGTTGAGTCACCGTTATAAGTATTGCCTACACCTACTTATTACAAAAAGCTTCTGAATTCCTTCCCTGGGAACAGAGTTCTTTGACTTGGGAAACTGAACTTTATAGTCCAGACCATCTAAACACCTAAACCAGAGAATGAGTCCCAAAGTTTTCAGCACTATAACAACCAAAGTTTTTTTTTTTTTTTTTTTTTTTTTTTTTTGAGACGGAGTCTCACTCAGTCGCCAGACTGGAATGCAATGGTGCAATCTCGGCTCACTGTAAGCTTCGACTGCCTGGTTCAAGCCATTCTCCTGCCTCAGCCTTTCGAGTAGCTGGGATTACAGGCATGCACCACCATGCCCAGCTAATTTTTGTATTTTTAATAGAGACGAGGTTTCACTGTGTTGGCCAGGATGGTCTCAATCTCCTGACCTCGTGATCCGCCTGCCTCAGCCTCCCAAGGTGCTGGGATTACTGGAGTGAGCCACTGCAACCAGCAACAACCAAGCATTTTTAGATTTTTGTGTATTTCCTCTCCCTTCTTTTTCTTTTCTTTTCTTTCTTTTTTTTTTTTTTGAGGTGGAGTTTTGCTCTTGCTGCACAGGCTGTAATGCAATGGTGCGATCTCAGCTCACAGAAATCTCCACCTCCCAGGTTCAAGCGATTCTATTGCCTCAACCTCCCAAGTAACTTGGATTATAGGCATATGCCACCACGCCTGGCTAATTTTTTTTTTTTTTTTTTTTTTTTTTTTTTTTTTTTTAGTAGAGACGATTTCTCCATGTTCGTCAGACTGGTCTCAAACTCTCACCTTCAAGTGATTCACCTGCCTCTTTCTTTTTCTTTTGTTAAATTCAACTTCATTTTGAAAAACTTTTTTTTTGGTTTTTGAGATAGAGTTTCACCCTTGTTGCCCAGGCTGGAGTGCAATGGCATGGTCTTGTCTCACTGCAACCTCTGCTTCCCGAGTTCAAGCCTCAGCCTCCTGAGTAGCTGGGATTATAGGTGCCCTACACTACACCCAGCTAATTTTTGTATTTTTAGTAGAGATGGGGTTCACCATGTTGGCCAGGCTGGTCTCGACCTCCTGATCTCAGGTGATCCACCTGCCTTGGTCTCCCAAAGTGCTGGGATTACAGGCGTGACCTACCACACCCAGCTGAAAAACTTTTGTAGAGAATATTTTGATAATCTTTGATCACTTACCATATCCCAGGGTGGTGTGAAACCAGCATTTAAAAACATTAATGTACACTTAATACTTGTTCTTGGCCTCCATTACTTAAATTTAAAAATTTAATACATCGTTGTTACACAGTCTGTAAATATTGATTAGCCCACTTGTGTTCTGAGTTATTTTAATACTTGCTTTATTGCAGGAAATCTTCACCGAACCAGCAGTGTTCCTGAGTATGTCTACAACCTACACTTGGTTGAAAATGATTTTGTTGGAGGCCGTTCCCCTGTTCCTAAAACCTATGACATGCTAAAGGTAGGCTATCAAAGAATGTAACCGTAGTGATCAGATTACCAGGAAGATATTTTCAAACTTCCTAAGATTATTTTTGAATGTTTACTTTTCCCAAGTATTATTTCCTAAATGAGTGTTGAGAAAATTGATTTTTGTGAGGATACCATGGAAAACTGTGGATGTGAAACAGTCTTACATCCTAGTGCAAATAAATATGACTCAAGTCAACCAAGTCTTACTTTCAAAAAGCCTCTACCCACAAAGGGTCCAACTTCTCATCATCTGATTCAGAGAAACGTGTGTTGGGTAATAGTCCCAGCGTAATTAGCCTTCCGCAAAGTTGAAAACTGAGTTATGCCTCCTTTAAACAGTATTTCTCTCCCGTGCAGGCTGGCACGGTTGCCACTTATGAAGGTCGCTGGGGAAGAGGAACAGCACAGTATAGCTCCCAGAAGTCCGTGGAAGAAAGGTCCTTGAGGCATCCTCTGAGGAGATTGGAGATTTCTCCCGACAGCAGCCCGGAGAGGGCTCACTACCCGCAAAGCGATTACCAGTACAGCCAGCGAAGCCAGGCTGGGCACACCCTGCGCCACCATGAAAGCAGGCGGGCCGCCCTCCTGATGCCACCGAGATACGCTCGCTCCGAGATCGTGGGGGTCAGCCGTGCTGGCACCACAAGCAGGCAGCGCAACTTTGACACTTACCACAGACAGTACCAGCATGGCTCTGTTAGCGACACCGTCTTTGACAGTGTCCCTGCCAACCCGGCCCAGCTCACATACCCTAGGCGGGGGACCAGCCGCAGCATGGGCAACCTCTTGGAGAAAGAGAACTACCTGACCGCAGGCTCCACCATCGGGCAGGTCAGGCCACTGGTTCCCCTGCAGCCCCTCACTCAGAACAGGGCTTCCGGGTACTCCTGGCACAAGAGCTCCTTCCACAGCACCCGCACGCTGAGGGAAGCTGGGCCCAGTGTCGCCGTGGATTCCGTAGATTCCGGCGGGAGGAGAACGCACTTGACCGTGGGCCAGGCGGCGGCAGGGGGGAGTGGGAATCTGCTCACTGAGAGAAGCACTTTCACTGACTCCCAGCTCGGGTAAGTCCCCTCCTGACTCTGCAGCTCAGCCATTGCCAGCACATTCTGTTCCCACAGCCTTGACAGCATGAGCTGGCACTTCTGGGGCTGGAGAGAAAGGCTTCCAGAGATAAGTGATTAAAATAATGACTTTTCAGGCAGCTGCCTAATTGACAGATCAGCCTATTTACCTCGGGGACAGGGGCCAAGCTACCTGCTCACATGGCAGCTTTGTGCAGAAATGTGACATTTAGTCCATCTGTTCCAGATTAGATGCTGGCTGAAGGGACCCTACCCCTTGGCCATATGAAAATCTGCTCCAAACTCCAAAATAGGCCAAGAAATGGAGAATTGCATCTGCATTTTCTTCATCATCCAATGAAATAAAAGGAAACAATGCTTATTCCTAGCGCTAAGTGTGAACTTCAAATGCCATTTTGATTACTATGACTGTAAAATGAGCTAAGGAAAGATGGCTGACTTCTAGATGTCTCTTTTCTTCCTTCAATACTTGGTATCGTTTAGATTTCTAGTGTCCGTGATTTGAAGGGGTATTCTTTTGGCAATATTAAATTATTAAAATAACTGAATTTTTTAATCATTCATTTCCCTTCCTATTTATAGCTTCACTAATTGAGTGTTTGGAACTTAACCCTTATCCCTTATTCACGTTTAATGCCTAAGCACAAATTTTATAAACTGAGCACGTTACTAAGAGAAAGTTGAGAAATAGATGGCTGATTAGATCAGTAACTCCTGCCATAGTGATCTAACATCATTAGGATAAAACATTAGATATCTTGTTGTTATTTGATTGCTAACGTGGGCTAATGATAGCTGTAGCTTCTAACTATCCTTTCAAGTGAAATTGTACAGTATGCCTACTGACCAAGTAGGCTTCAGTGATAAACCACTTCTCAAAATGTTGAGGAGTAATCTAAACACGGGAAATTTTTTTTTTTTTGAGACAGAATTTTGCTCTTGTTGCCCAGGCTGGAGTGCAATGGTGCGTTCTCGGCTCACCACAACCTCCACCTCCAGGGTTCAAGCTATTCTCCTGCCTCAGCCTCCTGAGTAGCTGGGATTACAGGCATGTGCCACCACACCTGGCTAATTTTGTATTTTTAGTAGAGATGGAGTTTCTCCATATTGGTCAGGCTGGTCTTGAACCCCCAACGTCAGGTGATCCACCTGCCTTGGCCTCCCAAAGTGCTGGGATTACAGGCGTGAGCCACTGCGCCTGGCCTACCACAGGAAATATTTTGTATAGCATAAAATTCACTGTGAGATTTCCAACATTTCTTATAGTAAGCAGACCTTTGGCAATGTGAGCATACTTACAAAGGGGAAAAATGAGCCAGGAGCAGTGGCTCAGGCCTGTAATCCGAGCACTTTGGGATGCCCAGGCGGGCAAATCACTTGAGCTCAGAAGTTCAAGACAGCCTGGGCAACATGGTGAAACCCCATCTCTACAAACAATGCAAATACTAGCTGGGTGTGGTGGTGTGCACCTGTAGTCCTAACTACTTGAGAGGTTGAGGCAGGAAGATTGCTTGAGCCCAAGAGGTGGAGGTCGCAGTGAGCCAAGATTGCACCACTGCACTCCAGCCTGGGGAACACAGTGAGACCTCATCTCCTCCAACAACTGGCATTGTCTTTCTCCGTCTCTGTGTCTCTTGCTTCTTGAACCACGCTGTCACTTCCCAGTCTCTTGTCAACCCACTGCAATATGATTTCAATCCCCTCCATCCCACTGACAGTCTCCTGACAAATGTAGCAATGACTGCCTTATTTACTTCATCCTAAGCAGACACTATGCTGGGTAATATAAGCAGTCCTTGTATTCCTAAACCTGCAGGAAATTCTGTCATCCCTTGGTTTTGAGGGCACCAGCTTCCCCTGGTTTTCCGCTCGCCTCTCCAGACATTCTTTGTTAGTCTTCTCTGCGTGCTCCCTTTATGCCTGCCCAAAGAAGGCATCTTCAGTAACCCTTCTATTCCAAGTCTTGATGCTCTTCCAGAGAAGCCCTGTGTACCTCACTTGTATCCTTATGGTTCTCAAAGTTTTGTCTTCAACTCCATCCTCAATGCCAAATTCTGGACCTAGATGAAAATCTAACAACCTCCTGGACATTTCAAACTCAGCATATCCTAAACTCACCTCATCATCTGCTCCCTATCCTCAACTTCCACCCATCTCCGCCTGCTGTAGTCTACTATTTTTTTTTTCTGAGACAGAGTCTCACTCTGTCACCCAGCCTAGAGTGCAATGGCATGATCTTGGCTCACTGGAACCTCTGCCTCCTGGGTTCAAGCAATTCTCCTGCCTCAGCCTCCTGAGTAGCTGGGATTACAGGCTCATGCCACCATGCCCGGCTAATTTTTGTATTTTTAGTACAGATGGGGTTTTACCATGTTAGTCAGGCTGGCCTCAAACTCCTGACCTCATGATCTGCCCGCCTCGGCCTCCGGAAGTGCTGAGACTATAGGCATGAGCCACCGTACCCAGCCTGGTCTACTATTTTCAAACGTGGAAGTCATTCTTACCTTCTTGTTCTGTATTCACCTATCACCAAGCCATATTTTTCCTTCTATAATGGGTCTTACATTTTTACCCCTCTGTCCATTTCTATTACACTGGCCTCTCTGTCTCTGGTCTTGCTCAGTCAGAACCATTCTCTAGGACTGTCAGAATTATCTTTCCACCTCTGACTGTTTCTCTCCCGGTTTATAAACCTTCCATAATTCCACTAAGTAAGTATTCATGCTTTTAGCCATGACCTACAAGGCCTGTTGTGTTTTCAGCTCTGCTTATCACTTCAACCTTTCTCCTTCTACTCCTCTCTGCCATCATCACCACCATCCCCAAACATACCCACATACCAACACCCAAACCACCTGGAACCTCTTTCCTTAATGCAAGATATTCATCCATATTCATTCTCTCTCTCTTTCCTTCTTTCTCCCCACTCCAGACCTTTACATATGCAACTCTATTTTTGTCTGACTACTTATAATTCTGGATTTAGCTCAGATACCACCATTTTTCTGACCACTTCCTTCCCTGTCTAGCTTAGGTGCCCCAGATAGCAGCCTTGTATGTCTTTATCAGAATAATATATTGTGGCTATTCATGTACTTATCTGTTCTCCCTCTGGACTTTGAGCATTTTTGAGTGCTCAATCATCTTAATATTCTCAGCACCCTAAAATGGAAGTACATCTAAAGTAGGAACTGTCAAAAATATCTGACGAGGCTAGGCATAGTAGTTCACACCTGTAATCCCAGCACTTTGGGAGGCCGAGGATGGAGGATTGCTTGAGCCCAGGAGTTTGAGACCAGCTTGGGCAACATAGGGAGACTCCCATTTCTATTAAAAATAAACAACTTAGCCTGACATGGTAGTACCCACCTGTGGTCGCAGCTACTCCAGAGGCTAAAGTGGGAGGATTGCTTGAGCCAGCAAGGTTGAGGCTACATTGAGCTGTGATTGTGCCACTGTACTCCAGCCTGGGCAACAGAATGAGACCTTGTTTCAATAAATATATAAGTGTATGGTGAAAGAGCAAAGTAATTAAAGGAGAAATGAAATATAAACTTTACTTTTTGCCATCTAGGTTCTTTTGTTGCTCAAATTCTTGAAGAAGTATTAGTCATACTATTTTTCAATTATTGTTTTAATAGAAAGGGTAAATTGTATTAGAATATTTAATCGTATTTCAAAGAATAGAAGGAACACTTGGGGTCAAAAATTTAAAAATAATGAGTAAGGAATCTCTTCCTGAGATTTCCCCAAATTCTAGAGAGTAGAAGTCATAGAAATCAACTTTTTTCTCTGATGTTGAAAGGAAAATTTGGCTCTCTGTTAAAAGGAGAGGGAGCCGGAAGTATTTTGTGTAATGAGGAAGATAGATGCCCAAGGCGGTGCCTATGCCTGCCTGACTTCCCTCTTTCCTTTGCTGGGCTCCATGGCTCATTTCAGCTCCCCAGGCTGCTCCCTAGGACCACTGCCCTGAGACCACACACTGTGTTCTCCTTTTGCCCCACATTGTCTCATATTTCAAGCTCTGTCCAGCCCCTATTTTGGGGATTTAATTTTTTATGCCTAGTGAAATTCCCACATGTAAAGGAGTGGTCTTTCATATACGTTGAATATTAACTAGCTATAACCATAAGCTTGCAATAATGACCTAAGGTAAACAATGGACATGGCTTTCCAAAACATGAATGGCTGGTTAAACAGTGACTAATGCAGCTAAAAACTGAGTCTTGGAGTAAAAGAGAAACACACTGATGAAGCTGATGTTCTAGATCAAACTGATAAAAAAGGTTTTTAAATATCACCACAAAAAAATTCTAGATGAATTTGTCTAAAACCATGATTTCTGACCTGTTGACGACTGGTGGTTCTGCAAATGAGTATTAAGGTCTTCATAGGCTCTTCCCAGTAAGCATCACAATGGATGAAAATGGGCCAGGCGGGTGGCTCACACCTGTAATCCTACCACTTTGCAAAGCCGAGACAGGTGGATCACTTGAGGTCAGCAGATCAAGACCACCCTGGCTAACGTGGTGAAACCCCATCTCTACTAAAAATACAAAAATTAGCTGGGCATGGTGGTGGGTGCCCATAATCCCAGCTACCAGGGAGGCAGGAGAATCGCTTGAACCCGTGAGGCGGAGGTTGCAGTGAGCTGCTGTCGCACCATTGCACTGCAGCCTGGGCAATAGAGTGAGACTCAGTCTCAAAAAAAATAAATAAAATATAAAAATTGAGTGGGATATATGATGGTCTACAAGAGGAGCAGTGAAAAATAAAATAGGATATGTCATCAAGTGCCAGGTTGCGTGGTACATGTTAGTGTCTACAGAAATTTAAAGAAAACAAGAGCAGGGCTGCAGCACCTTGGGAGGCTGAGGCTGGCAGATTGCTTGAGCCCAGGAATTTGAGACCAACCTGGGCAACATCGCAAAATCCCATTTCTACAAAGTATGTAAGAATTAGCTGGGTGTGGTGGTGCATGCCTGTAGTCCCAGCTACCCGGGAGGCTGAGGCAAGAGAATCACCTGAGCCTGGGAGGTCCAGGCTGCAGTCAGCCATAATCACGCCACTGTACCCCAGTGTGGGCAACAGAGTGAGACCCTGTCTCAAGTAAAAAAAAAGAAACAAACAAAACCCACAAGAGCAGCAATGTGCCCTGAGATGAGTTGAGGGAGACTAAGCAGAGGATGGATCTTCACTAGGATTGCCAGTCAAATCTGTGACCCAAGAGCACTGCAGAGCAGAAAACAGATCATACTGACTTCCCTCCACGTCCTCTTAATGACCACCTGCTTTAGTTCTTTGATTTTTTTGTCTCTTTCAACTATACTTTTTTTTCCATTTCCATTTTTAACAGCCTAGTTCAAGGCTTTTTTGCCTCAGCTAAACCTTTTGTCGTGCCCTCAGCACTGTCTCTTTCTTTCCAGATACACATATCCACTCCAGAGTCATCTTTCCAAAGCACTGCTTTCATCATCACTTTAAAATATTTGTGGGGATTTGCATTTACTGAGCGTCTGACAACACTTGTAGGAGCTATCCATTCATCATTTTATGTTTGCTTTGCCTTCAGAAGTGTAGCCGTATTCTAATATCAGGGAAACCAGCCCGGGCAGGGCTGTGTTGTTAGTTGGCAGAATACTGGCTACTGGGGGATTACACACAAACACAAGTTACTGGGTTGTTTGTTTTGTTTTTTTGAGACAGAGTTTCGCCCTTAATGCCCAGGCTGAAGTACAATGGCACGATCCTGCCGCACTGCATCCTCTGCCTCCTGGGTTCAAATAATTCTCCTGCCTCAGCCTCCTGAGTAGCTGGGATTATAGCCTCCCCACCACACCTAGCTAATTTTTGTATTTTTAGTAGAGAGGGGTTTCACCATGTTGGCTGGGCTGGTCTCAAACTCCTGACCTCAGGTGATCCACCCGCCTCGGCCTCCCAAAGTGCTGGGATTACAGGCATGAGACACTGCACCTGGCCAAGTTACTGGGTTGTTCCCCCCAGCCCCCATAATGTCTCATATTCTGACCAATGGTGTTTTACAGTGCTTTCTCTTACTTTTTAAAGTTTATACTGATATCATGTTAAAAATTGTTGAAAAGACTCACTTCTGGAGAATATGTTCAGGGGTCAGTGGGGCTGGGGAACAACTTCTCTTCCTGGTTCTCCAGCCCAGGCCCAACACCACCTCCCAAGCCAGGTTTCTTCTGCAGACTTCAATAAATGTTTCATAAGTGAGTAGAAAGAGAAGAAAGGAAGGAAGAGAGAGAAGAAGGGACTGGCATGGGGGAATGCTGTAGGAGAACAGAGGAGGAAAGAATAGCTCTCGCTGGGAGAGGGACACAGAAAATATTTCACAGAAATTAAGATATTTAAGCTGAGGTAGGAGGATTGCTTGAGACCAGGAGTTGGAGACCAGCCTGGGTAACATATCATGGCCTTATCTCTATAAAAAGTTAAAAAATTTGGCTGGGCGTGGTGGCCCACACCTGTAATCCCAGCAGTTTGGGAGGCCAAGGTGGGCCGATCACGAGGTCAGGAGTTTGAGACCAGCCTGGCCAACATGGTGAAACCCCGTTTCTACTAAAAATACAAAAATTAGCCAGGTGTGGTAGCAGGTGCCTGTAATCCCAGCTACTTAGGAGGCTGAGGCAGGAGAATTGCTTGAACTCAAGAGGCAGAGGTTGCAGCAGTGAGCCGAGATCATGCCACTGCACTCCAGTCTGGGTGACAGAGCAAGACTCTGTCTCAAAAAATCAAAAAAGTAGTCAGGAGTGGTGGCTCACACCTGTAGTCGCAGCTGCTCAGAAGGCTGAAATGAGAGGATCACTTGAGTCCAGGAGGTTGAGGTTATGTTGAGCTGTGATCACATCACTGCACTCCTGCCTGCGTAAAAAAACAGGACTGTGTCTCTCTAAAAAAAAAAAAGAACAAGAAGAATTTAAGATATTTGAATTGAGTCTTGAAGAATGGATAAGAATTAGGTAATATGATAAGCTTCCTGGAAGAGTCAAAGGTGGCTTCTGAAGAAGGTGGCAATGTTTACAGAAGGATTAAAAACCCGGCGTGATTGGAGGGGTGTGTAGTAGATCCAAGGAGGGGGAAGGAAAGGAGTTGAGGATGACAGGAAGTGGAGACAGACTTGGGCCAGAATGTATGCCATGTTGTGCAGTTAGACTTGATAGACAGTAACAAAACAGAAAGTTGACCCCCGACAGCCGTAGTAAACCTTGCTGAGGAAGTCTTCATTTTGTTTAGGATTGTTTTTAGTGATAAAGTGAAATCGCATTGGGTTGCCTACGTGTGAACACAGAGCTTCTGTGTGAATCATGTTCAGGAAAATAAAGGATTAGAGTAAAGGAATTATATGTGGGTGTTAGAGATGGGAAATTCAAACTTTCCTGAGTCATGTATGGCTTATGAGATGGATTAATGGCTCAATCTTAAAAAAAAAAAAAAAAAAAAAAAAGGCTGCATAACACAAGGCTGTTCTTATGAATGATCTTTCATTAGTTAAAACACCTGCAGTGATAGCTGGTAAAGGCTTTGCTATTGAGCTTTAGACTAGACTCACAGAGTTTTGATTCTCTGTAAAGGCATCAGACTCCATGAATGCAAAATATTTCCATCTCCTTTAAAATGTGTGTGTATATTAGATAAAAGTGAGTCAAATGCTAGTTTTAATGGTAATAGCCTGAATTTTTTTAACCAATTATAATTGACTCGTGAGGCACATTAAAAATATGAGATCATTATATAATTCTCAGTATAGATGCCAGAAATTTTCTGCTTCACTTTTAATACCCTTATACTTATGAGGTAACCCTTCTGTGTTTGAACATGTGTTTCAGAAGCAGGGGTATTGTTTTTTAATCATGAGGTGCATTATTCCTTATCACCCCACCTGTACCACACCCACCCACACACAGGCACACCCTTCACAATGCTGCACACACTCACACCTTTACACATGTATGTATATTCATGGGTTAGCCTGTTGGAAAAGAGTATTTCCTCATTATGCTTGCTAGTAGATACTGGAAAACTCCTCAGTATTCATTCCTGTCTCTGTTACCTGGAATGAATCAGGTATAACCCTCTTTGAAGCCAAAAACAGGCCTAAATTACCTTTAAAGTGTGTCTTTAGTCATTATTTTGTTTGTTTGTTTGTTTTTGAAACAGAGTCTTGCTCTGCTGCTCAGGCTGTGGTGCAGTGGCGTGACTAAGGCTCATTACAGCCTTGACCTCCCAGGCTCAAGTGATCCTCAGCCTTCCAAGTAGCTGGGTCTACAGGCACACACCACCACACCCAGCTAATTTTTTTTGTTTTTTGTAGAGACAGGGTCTCACTGTGTTGCCAGGGCTGGTCTTGAACTCCTAGACTCAAGCAATCTTCCTGTCTCAGCCTCCCAAAGTGCTGGGGTATTACAGATGTGAACCACCGTGCGCAGCCCAGAAAAACTTTTAATTTCTATAAACATATTTTTAAAAATTCTTTTAAAACTCTTATTGTGCCTTTAAAGTTGCTTTTAAAGCTGTGAGTATCATATGATACATATTTATCTTTTTTTTTTTTTGAGATAGAGTCTCATTCTTTGGCCCAGGCTGTGAAGCAACACAGTCTCTGCTCCCTGGAACCTCTGTCTCCCAGGTTCAGATGATTCCCCTGCCTCAGCCTCCTGAGTATTACAGTATTACACCTGAGATTACAGCTGTACACCACCACGCCCAGCTAATTTTTTGTATTTTTAGTGGAGATGGGGTTTCACGATGTTGGCCAAGCTGGCCTTGAACTCCTGACCTCAAGTGATCCACCACCTCAGCCTCATATTTATCTTTAAAAATTCAGCTTCTTTCTTTGGTGTATGTTAAAATTCAATCCAATGACATCATCCAAGGTCTCCAGTCTGATCAGAGGTGTAGTATTTCTGGCCAGTAGTACCTCTTCCTTCTCATCTTGGGTGCTGATTTTTCTTTTGGCTGAAGAAAAACCAAGGTTCAGATGTTCTAGTGCTTTCCAGTATTAGCTGAGTCGTCTCTGGAGGACCAGGTTGGTAGGAAGGAGAAGCGAGGTTTGGAATCTGGCTGAATCTGTGCCTGTTTGTCTAGGAATGCAGACATGGAGATGACTCTAGAGCGAGCAGTGAGTATGCTTGATGCAGACCACACGCCACCATCCAGGATTTCTGCTGCAGCCACTTTCATACAGCACGAGTGCTTCCAGAAGTCTGAAGCTCGGAAGAGGGTGAGTGTCATCTTCAGCCCATTGCAAACCGCAACACACTTTCACTTCTATCATGGTGATCTTGCACACTGAAACCAATAATTTATTTAAATTTTTAAAAATTGGGGTCGGGCGCAGTGGCTCACATCTGTAATCCCAGCACTTTGGGAGGCCGAGGTGGGTGGCTCGTGAGGTCAGGTGTTTGAGATCAACCTGGCCAACATGGTGAAACCCCGTCTCAACTAAAATACACAAAATTAGCTGGACATGATGGCAGATGCCTGTAATCCCAGTTACTCGGAGGCTGAGGCAAGAGAATCACTTGAACCCAGGAGGCGGAGGTTGCAGTGAGCCAAGATAGTGCCTCTGCACTCTAGCCTAGGTGACAGAGTAAGACTCATCTTAACAAAGAAACAAAAAATTGAGATCTTTTACTTTAAAAGGAAACATCCACTCATTACCAAAAATATTTTCTGCAATTCAGAAATGTAGAAAGTAAGTCGCTATACAACCTTTCCCCTTCTTTTACTGTCTCCCCACCTCCCCATTTAGAACCATCCCCAGAGGCCAATGTTTGGCAACATTTTTTCATTCAATGATTCCGTTAACATTTGTAACAATTGTTCAACTAATTGCTGTGTGCCTATATCTTTTGACACTTTTGTTCCTATAGGACAGATTCCCAGAGATAGAATTAATAGGTTATTTTTTTCCCATTTATTTATTTTATTGCATTTTAGGTTTTGGGGTACATGTGAAGAACATGCAAAATTGTTGCATAGGAACACACATGGCAGTGTGATTTGCTGCCTTCCTCCCCATCACCTACATCTGGCATTTCTCCCCTTGCTATCTCTCCCCAGCTTCCCACCCCCCACCGTCCCTCTCCTATTTCCCCCCAACTGACCCCAGTGTGTAGTGCTCCCCTCCCTGTGTCCATGTGTTCTCATTGTTCAACACCCGCCTATGAGTGAGAACATGCGGTGTTTGATCTTATGCTCTTCTGTCAGTTTGCTGAGAATGATGGTTTCCAGGTTCATCCATGTCCCTACAAAGGACCCAAACTCATCATTTTTGATGGCTGCATAATATTCCATGGTGTATATGTGCCACATTTTCCCTATCCAGTCTATCGTCGATGGGCATTTGGGTTGGTTCCAGGTCTTTGCTATTGTAAACAGTGCTGCAATGAACATTCGTGTGCACGTGTCCTTATAGTAGAACGATTTGTAATCCTTTGGATATATACCCAGTAATGGGATTGCTGGGTCAAATGGAATTTCTATTTCTATGTCCTTGAGGAATCGCCACACTGTCTTCCACAATGGTTGAACTAATTTACACTCCCACCAACAGTGTAAAAGTGTTCCTATTTCTCCACATCCTCTCCAGCATCTGTTGTCTCCAGATTTTTTAATGATGGCCATTCTAACTAGCGTGAGATGGTATCTCAATGTAGTTTTGATTTGCATTTCTCTGATGACCAGTGATGATGAGCATTTTTTCATATGTTTGTTGGCCTCACGTATGTCTTCTTTTGTAAAGTGTCTGTTCATATCCTTTGCCCACTTTTGAATGGGCTTGTTAGTTTTTTTCTTGTAAATCTGTTTTAGTTCTTTGTAAATTTTAGATATCAGCCCTTTGTCAGATGGGTAAACTGCAAAAATTTTTTCCCAATCTGTTGGTTGCCGATTCACTCTAATGATTGTTTCTTTTGCTGTGCAGAAGCTGTGGAGTTTGATTAGGTCCCATTTGTCTATTTTGGCTTTTGTTGTCAATGCTTTTGGTGTTTTGGTCATGAAGTCCTTGCCTACACCTACGTCCTGAATGGTTTTGCCTAGATTTTCTTCTAGGGTTTTTATGGTGTTAGGTCTTTTGTTTAAGTCTTTAATCCTTCTGGAGTTAATTTTAGTGTAAGGTGTCAGGAAGGGGTCCAGTTTCTGCTTTCTGCACATGGCTAGCCAGCTTTCCCAACACCATTTATTGAACAGGGAATCCTTTCCCCATTGCTTGTTTTTGTCTGGTTTGTCAAAGATCAGATGGTTGTAGATATGTTGTGTTGCCTCCGAGACCTCTGTTCTGTTGCATTGGTCTATATCTCTGTTTTGGTACCAGTACCATGTTGTTTTGATTACTGTAGCCTTGTAGTATAGTTTGAAGTCTGGTAGTGTGATGCCTCCTGCTTTGTTCTTTTTGCTTAGAATTGACTTGGCTATGCGGGCTCTCTTTTGGTTCCATATGAAGTTTAAGGTGGTTTTTTCCAGTTCTGCGAAGAAAGTCATTGGTAGCTTGATGGGGATAGCATTGAATCTGTAAATTACTTTGGGCAGTATGGCCATTTTCACAATATTGATTCTTCCTAACCATGAACATGGAATGTTTCTCCATCTGTTTGTGTCCTCTCTTATTTCGTTGAGCAGTGGCTTGTAGTTCTCCTTGAAGAGGTCCTTAATAGGTTATTTTTTATTTGTTTTAAAAAGTGAAACATTCATGAGGGAGGAGGAATCACAGCTCAAAAGGGTATTCAGTGAAAAGTAAGTCTCTTCTACTCTAAACTCCAGTCTATATCTCCTCTCTGTTCTGTCTGTCTCTCTCTCACACAAACACATATATCAATTTTTTCAATCTTTCCAGAGATATTTTATACACGTAGAAACAATTGTTGAAACAATTGAGTATCCTTTTTAAAACACGAAATCAGATGGTAACTTACTACTTATAGTACTTTATTTTTTCATACTGTATATTAGAAATCTTCAATATATATTAATTTTACCTCATTCTTTTAAGATGCTGCATAGATTTCTGTTGTCTAAATATACCAGTTTTATTGGTTCATTTTTTAACAACCTTATTGAGGTATAACCTGATACAGTTTTGACACTATAAAACCATCATCATGATCAAGATACCAAACGTATCCGTCACCTCCAGTGTTTTCTTGTGCACCCCTGTAATCCATATACCCCACCTGCCCCCAGCCTCCCAAAGCAACCAGTGATCTGCTTTCTTTCCTTTCTTTTTGAAACAAGGTCTCACTGTGTCACTCAGACTGGAGTGCAGTGATGCAATCGAAGCTTACTGCAGCCTCAACTTTCTGGGCTCAAGGAATCCTCCCACCCCAGCCTCCTGAGTAGCTGGAACTGTAGGCACACACAACCACACCCAGCTAATTTTTGTATTTTTTGTAGAGATGGTGGTCTCACTATGTTGACCAGGCTGGTCTGGAACACCTGGGCTCAAGCAGTCCTCCTTCCTCAGCCTCCCAAAGTTCTGGAGTTACAGATGTGAGCCACTATGCCCAGCCATGATTTGGTTTCTGTCGCTGTAGATTAGATTGAATTTTCTAGAATTTTATATAAATGGAATAACAGAGAGTATAAGCTTTTTTTAGTCTGAATTCTTTTACTTAGAGTAAGTCTTTTGAGATTCACCCATGTTGTATGTATCAGTTTTGGCTATTACAAATAAAGCTACCATGAACATTTGTGTACAAGCCTTCATGTAGACATATGCTTCATTTCTTTTAAGTAAATACCTAGGAGTAAATGCCTAGATGGTATGATAGGTGTGTGTTTGACTTTTTAAGAAACTGCTGAATCATTTTACAAAGTCGCTGTGCCGTTTTACATTCCCACTCGCAATTTATGAGAGTTCCAGTTCTTCCACATCTTAACATTTGATATAGTGAGCCTTAATGTTAGCCTTCAAGTTTGTAGAGATGTTTTATTTTTGTTTTAATTTGCATTTCCCCAATGACAAAGGGGTTGAACTTCTTTTTTCTTTTTTTTTTTGAGACAGCGTCTGCCTCTGTTGCCAAGGCTGGAGTGCAGTGGCACAATCTCCGCTCACTGCAACCTCCGCCTCTTGGGTTCAAGTGATTTTTCTGCCTCAGCCTCCTGCATAGCTGGTATTACAGACACCTGCCACCACATCTGGCTAATTTTTGTGTTTTTCAGTAGAGCAGGGTTTCACCATGTTGCCCAGGCTTGTCTCCAACTCCTAACCTCAAGTGATCCACCTACTTTGGCCTCCCAAAGTGCTGGGATTACAGGTGTGAGCCACCACACCGGCCTGTAAGATTATTTTTGAAGGCTTACTATTCCCAAGTATTATCATTTCCTAAATGAATTTTGAGAAAATTGATTTTTGTGAGAAAACTGGGGATGGGAAACAGTCTTACATCCTAGTGCAAATAAACATGACTCAAATCAACCGGTTAAGTCTTACTTTCAAAAAGCCTTTATCCAGAAAGGGTCCAACTTCTCATCATCTGATTCAGAGAAAGGGACGTGTTGGGTAATAGTCCCAGCATAATTAGTCTTCAGCAAAGATGAAGACTATATGTCTGTTTTTATGCAAATTCCACACTGCCTTGATTACTATAGTTCTGCAAGCCTTGAAATTAGGTAGTGTTAGTCCTTCCATTTTATTCTTTTTCAAAGTTGTTTTGGCTATTGTGGGTCTTCAGCAGTTCCATTTGAAGTTTAGAATCAGCTTGTCAATTTCTTAAAAAAATTATTGCTGAGATTTTATTAGAGATTCACTGGATCTGTAGATTAATATGGAGAGAACTGACAACTTAACAATATTGAGTCTCTGACCCATGACCATGGTACATCATAACATTTATTTAGGTCTTCAGTTTTTCTCAGCAGAATTTTACAGTTTTTACTGTAGAGGTCTTTCATGTCTTTTCTTAGATTTATCCCTAAGTTTATCATATTTCCAGATGATATTGTAAATGGTGCTTTTTTATTTCTATTTTTGATTGTTCATTGCTAGTATATAGAATAGATAATTTATATACATATATATTTACAGAGAGAGAGAGAGAGAGAGTGTGTGTGTGTGTGTGTGTGTGTGTGTGTGTGTGTGTGTGTGTCTGTGTGTGTGAGAGAGAGAGAGAGAGAGTACTGGCTGGAACCTCTCCTTACAGTCTTGAAAAGAAATGGTGAGCTTGGGCATATTATCCTGTTTCTGATCTCAGGGCAAAAGTATTCAGTCTTTCTTTCACCCTT